GCGTGAGGTGATCAGTATAAGCAGGAAAGATATTCAAATGTGTGGTCCTCTTGAGATGGTTTCTAAAGGATGTTTCTTAAGGCAGAGGAGGGTACAGTCCTTCTCTGCCTGCTGGTGGTGAATATGGGGGGTCAGTTGGTCATCTCCTTTGTGTTTGTTGCTGCTCTGATGATGAGACGGGGGCCGAGTCTTTGAACCTTTGCATTAGTGATGAGCTTTCTCCTCTCTTTATCTCTCATCACCATATTTTACAACTGGGCAAACTGAGCCTCTCTTGTCAAACGCTGGGCCCATCCGCCCACACAGGTATGCACATGTGTTCACATGTGCACAATGATGCACTAGTACACACCCCAAGGCACATATTTTGAACAGACACACATAAGAATAAACATCTTTATACCTATACGCAGGGGCACATGCACACATCTTATACACACACACATGCTAGACTGCACTTTCTCTCTTTGTGTTTGTCCTCTTCACTTCCCTTTGGCGTCAACTGCTCCATGTAATGCAGTGACATCATTGTGCTCTGTGAACAGAGGTTAATGGTCCAACACTTGTGCCAACGCCATGCCGGAGAAAACAAAGCAGGTGTTTGTAGTTGTGTAGCAAGGAGACGCCACGTACAGCCGGCAGCAGACAGAACCCAGAAACACTTCTGTCTTCGCTGCATTAACACTGCTGCACCTTGGTTAGAGGGAGGAAAGAGTATGACGCTTTAAAGCTAGTGAGATAGACAAGTTAAATGGAGACAGGAGCTATCAAATGAAAAACAAATCTTTGAAGAAGCTTTACATCTATTTTCATTGTCTTGAAATGAAGATTTTAGAGTATGTTTTTTTTCTCTACACTACAGTTGTCTTCTTGCAAAATATTTTTTCTGTCATTCTTGTGGAAATAATTGCCACTGACATTAAGATTTCCCTCATATTCTCATTCATAATCTCATATTTAAAAAACAGAGCAAATCTAATATTTGAGTAAATTAATAGCGTTGTGTGGTGACAGCCTTTTCCTTAGTGTGCTGATGAGGAAACACCCATAAGGTGAGGGTATCTCTGTGTGCATTTGTGTGTGGTGGGGGGTGTTTCTTTGTGTGGACTAAGGTGACTAATTGCCCTCTTGTTCATCCTCTGAGACGAACAAGGACGCTCACCTCTCTACTCTTCTAAGCTTACGGCTGTGTGTCAGGATTACCCAGGATGCTCCTTGAGTATCCCCTTATACCTTCAATTGGATCTCATCTCATCTCTGATCTTATACCTGGCATGCCCCTGCATTACAGCTGCTGCCTGCATGGGCCACTTTATCATCCCCTGCACCTTGGCTTTGCTGGTGGCGGTAATAGAAAACACTTCATCACAGTGTCCGCCTTACGCAGGATTTTCCATTCATTTATGGGACTTTGGGATGCTAACATGTCAGCTGATATTTAACAATGACTCCCCGTACCTGCCTCTCAATGACTGATAGCGAAGCTGCTTAGTCATTTGAGTAGCTGGAGCAAATCTAACTAATGATCTTAGCTGTCAGAGATAAATTCCACCATTGGGCGCAGAGCCCTGCCACTGTTGCCGCTGCTGTGGCTGGCAGCCTGTATCTCCCAGACACTCTGTCTCAAGCATGCCTTTGGTATCATCTCACACTGGCTGCACCAAGTGTGCGATGATGCCACAGCGACGGGTTGAGTCACGACCCATCTCTTATCTCTAGGATCACAGGTTGTTTATCATGTGTGGAGCATATCAGCGTTGTACGCAGGCCAGACGCATCAGTCCAGCTGAATATGTGTCACATTATTCACTGGTCATAACACTGTATCAAGGCCCGCTGTCGCTCCTGTAGCACCAAACTCTCTATCCTTGAGGCATCACTCCAGTTAGTCATAGTTGAGCGAGATGACAGCCATAGAGAGATGACATGCAGTGAATTGACAGACTAATCCAAGATGGCTGCCTTACACAAAGCTATTAACACGAGAGGCACTCAGGGCCAAGACGAAGGGTTTTCTAAAAACATTTGCTGCATATTTTTAGAAAAGTTCTCTCTCTGCTTTTTCTGTGTTTCTTTCTTGTCTCACTTTTTATTGTATGTCTCTGTCTTCAGATCAGGATTTAGCAGTAAATATTAACTTATTCTAATGTAGAAGCAAGAGAAAGTCCCTTTTCTTATCAAACGCCATGATATTATAGTACAACACCATTTTAAGATGTAAATAAGCAGTATCATAAGGTTGCTGATCAATGATTTCAATTTTTTCAGATTTACTAAATAAGTAGTTTTACTTCTTTTAAACCATTTAAATACTGATTATATGAACAGAACTGTCACAAAACTAGTTTTTCATATCTTATTAAAAGCTGATATTTTGGAGACACATGGTTTTCAAAGCACAGTGAGGATACCCCTGACAATTATGTTTATAGAGCCCAAGATCACAGATTTATCTCGGAGGACTTTAAAATCTATACAACATATGACATCCTTCAATCCTTCATTTGGATTAACAAGACTGCAAGGGCTGGTGGACACAATATACAGTATACAGTAAGATGTAAAGAAATGTTACACAGAGGCATACAAATATCTGTAAAAATAGCAATTAGAAAAACACATATGACTTATCTTTCAGCGTAGATGATTCTTTGTTAAGATAATAGGCTAATCTCTACCTGTGTATAATTATTTTTGGTTCACTTCACAGTACAACACATATTCTGTCTTCCTCTTCTTTTCAATTGAACTCTTTTGATCTATTCTGTGTTGGCGCACCTGCTCTTTTTAGATATCTCTTCCTCTCGGTCCGGTTTCTCTCTCTCTCTCTCTCTCTCTCTCACACACACACACACACAAACACATACACACACACACTCAGTGCACACTATCAGTTTCTCTCTCTCTCCTTCTCTCCGACCACACGAATACTTACACATCTCTCTGCTTCACCCTGGTTGGATTTCTCTTTCTCTGTAATTACAGGCTTCTTATCTACTTCCTATGTTACGTACTGCAGCCATTGGCCTCCTCCATGTTTCCTCCTCTACCATTTTAGTGTCACACACATCTTCCGCTGCTTCTCTCTCCAGGAGCCAACAAGACAGAGACACACAATATGCTTCTTAACATGGCAGGACCAGCCAAGTTTGACGGCTGCAAGGAATAAATCCAAGAGGCAGTAAATTCTGGTGGCAGTTTTTGCTAGAAAGAGGCTATTTGAGTGAAGAATTGTAGTGTTGTTACAGTTGTGGGTGTGTGTTGGGAAGAGAGAGGGAGTGAAGGGGGGGGGCAAGACAGGGAGAAAATGTAGGCTTTGGCGTTCATAGACTCTTGGTGAATGAGTGTTTGTGTGTGTCCAGGAGTTGTAAAGTTTGATTTAATTATTCATGTGGAAGCAGTAACATTGCTTCCCAAACTAGCAAATGAAACTCCATCTTGCCAAGGAACTCACACAGGTCACAGCGACCAATTACTTAATGAAAATGATCAGGTTTCTAATGCGGCCCTGGCCAGAGCTCCTCTCCAAATTCCTGCAGTACTTTACGTAGCTATAAAACAGAGTGTACCTCAGCTTTCTTCCAGTGGTTAGGCAAAGTGTGCCACCGCTGCAGTCTTTAGACCCATCAAAATTCCAAATGGCTGAACCAGCTTTAAGGGAAGGATTATTACTTATTAAGAATGGCTAATGTATGATGTAAAAGTTGGCTGCTGCTCCATTTCCACCCCCTCCTGTCTCTTTGGCTCAGCCTCAACTTCTCTCTCTTGCACTGAAATGGTGTGTTTGTGTTGTTTATGCTCATATTTTCAGATAATAATATATTCTTGTAGAGCATGAAACGAACAAGGATAGGAGTTTATATATCAAATATATCTTAACACAATCCTCACATGTCTATGTGTACATTATAAGTGTTGTTTGTTGTGAGGATGAAATCCACAGTCCTTGTTCCATTCAAAAATGAGTTTTAAAGGAATGCGCTTTATATTCAAATACGTACCACAAGTAACATGTAAGAATAAAAAAAGAGAGAAGAAAACGATGAAAAAATATAACGGAGTTTGTTTCACAGAGTAGCTGTAAGCACCCTCACCTCACCTGGATCTTATTCTAGGTAGAGTAACACAGTGGTTATATGTTTCTGATTTGACTCCTTGTTGCCTAAACTCAATCAAATGTTGTTAAAAAAGTTGCACAATCCAAACCTGTACAGGTCTTAACTTTTTGCTCCAGTGGTTTTATGTTGTTCTTTTTGTTTTAGTTCTCTGAGATTCTTGTGTCTGAACCTTATAACTCTGCTTTTTAAAGCTGCTATAGACATAAAGTCCTCTTATTCAGTTAAAAAACCACCTGAGAGGTCTGACAGAAAATTCCACTGAAGCAGCAAAATTTGAGGCTTCAGCTGTCTAAGTTAACTAAATCAAGGAGCTACCTTCTAAAGTCTTCTTAGTACAACAATTCACTCTTTCTGTTACTGTGTCTCCACTACAGCTCAGCAAGGAAATGCTGTCCCAGGGAAATACAGAGGGAGGACAGTGAAGTGGATTTTGTTCCCCATCTGTTACAGTGAAGTCATGCTAAGAGGAGATGACTACAGGCTGACAGTGCTGACAATAGAAAGGATAACTTTTTCACTGTATAGTAAAGATTTCTGCACACTTTGATCCAAGTCACTTTATTTAGCAAGCTTTAAGTCTATCTGACCTTCATCAGTTTAGACACCTTGGGGCTTAGCAAAGATTCAGCTGGATGGAGCGGTTGTCATCCTGCAACCTTTTCACTGTAAACATGAGCAGGTTTTACTGTGAGAGAGACTTGAAAAATAAATCTGAATCCATCCTTTAATGCAAATTCTGTCTCACCAAATTAATAATCCTCACAGCTACGAGAAATGTCTGACCGACATCTGATGGACAGTTGTCCATCCTCTGGCTACTTGACACCACAACAGAGGCTATTTTGGTGATGTGCGTCCTGACTCCTCCAGCACCGCGGACAGCGCCGTCTGCGCCCAGCCTCTCTCTGTCTCCATCTAGCCGGTTTCCTGACTGCTGTGGCAGTAAAGCCTTTACCATGTTATACTGAAAGCATGCAACAGCAGCGAGCAGCGGCTCACACACAGCAGCAGCAGCAGCAGCAGGCTGCGAGCCGACAGCAGGCTCTGCATGCAGCTCCCATTCTAAATATTTCTGCCTGGTAATACAAAACCAGGCATATTCTGCTAAATTATTAAATACCAGCCTGCAAAGGCTCAGACTGTAGTATGGCATGAGGTAATTGTTACAGCACGGTTTGTTTGTTTGATGCTTTTATGTGAGCCAACAAGTGGAAATGTGTTTTGGAAATAGATGGGCTATCAAGAGTGTATTTATTGTTCCCCTCATGGTTTTTAAAATCACGAGTCCACTTTAGGGACATCAAACTACGCGAGGAGGTAATCATTTAGAGTTGATCATAAACTATAGTGACGTTCAGGGTATATCTGAGCGAAGACTTATATTTGACAGGCCTGTGGATCTGTTTGGGTGACGTCGCAGTAAAAGTGATTTCTGATTATGCAGGGTGGTTATGGCAACATTGACAAAGTCGATCTATTTGGTCCACAGTGGATTAAGATGATCGACCATGTGAGCGGGATTTAAACACCTTTCTACATCTCAATAATCCCATTCTTGTAATATCCTAACAGCCTTAAGGAGTGATCGATCCGCTGCAACCTGTGCGCATAGCAGGCAATGGACCGATATTCAGTCGAAGGCGGTGTTTTGGCTGTACGGTGACGTTTTAAGGCAGGTCCTGGTCAAACCTACCAATGATACAAGTCGGTCCTATTCTGCTGGGACTGATCGCAATGAACGGGTGTCGGAGCTCTGAACGGCATAGGAGCAACCACAGCGAGTCGAGGCGATCAAGGGGATGCGGCATCGGTACGCGGGAGCTGTCCATCAGCACCAAATCCCCGACGAAAAGCAAGGAAGCAGCCAGCAGAGCCGAGACCCAGTCGCTCCTGTTTTTAGCCTGCCGCCCCCGCCCTCTTCTCACCACCGAGACCGCACTTCGACCACCGCCGCTCACCGCCAGAGCCTCCAGGAGCTCCCCTGTCTGAGCCAGCCCTCTCGGAGACCTGTTCACAGCGGCGACCCTCTACCTTTGGCGTCCTACGACACCGCCCAGCGACCTTCACACCGAGGCAGTGAACCCAGCACCGGGCAGCCGGCGCACCTGCAGCAGGATCCCTGGGCCCCGGCCGGTTCCCAGCAGCAGCCGCCGCCGCCGCAGTCGGAGAAGCAGCCTGTTTTTCCAAGCTGCCACTGCAGTTTTTCCGAGCAGGAGGCGAGCCTTTCTCAAAATCAGCACCATCCTGTCGACCCTCTCCCACCGCAGCCCTCCCCACCTTTTCCGCCGCCTATACCACCGCCACCAACCTCCTCCTCCTCTCTGCTGTTTTCCCGGGAATCTAAAAGGGGGGATCGTCTCCGAAGGAGTGCCAATAATTACCAACAGGCAAGCATCGTGGAACGCTGCAGGGGAGGAGGAGGAGCAGGAGGGCACCGAGACCACAGGCAGTTGTTGCAGCAACAGCAGCAGCAGCAGCAGCAGCAGCAACAGCAACAGCACAGTCATTTAAGACTCCAACAGAGGGACCCCTCCCCTGAAGGAATCCGTGCAAACTCACAGAAAGGGCGCTCTTTAAATGTATGTGAGTCAACCGAGGCTAACAGGAGAGCATTTGAGTCTCAGACTCAGGACCTGCAACAGCAGCAACAGCAGCAACAGATCCCACAATTACGAGCGCAGCAACAGCTACTGGTGGGAAGCAGCTTGCCTATCAACTACTGCGCCAGCGGCTCAGGAGAGCTATGTAGGACTCACCAGGCTCCACTGCTGCAACAGCAAGAGCAGCAGCAACAGCGGCAGCAGCAGCAACAGCAGCAGCAGCAGCAGCAGCAGCAAGACGCACTGGGGCTCTGTCCCCAGCGTCCGCAGCACTGTGAACAAGACCGCAATAAGTCTGGGAGGATCTCCGCGCAAGGCGACCAGGCGCAGCCACACAGCCGCGACTCCCGCGTAACCCCCCCGGTAACACAACAGGCATACGCGGGGAACTCGTCTGCGACTGTCAGCAACAGCAGCAAAGACAGCCCCAACTACGGCTCGAGCTATCACCTGTGGCCAGAGAGCCCGCATAAAGGAGAGGAGAGGATACGCATCGACCTCCATAAGGTAGATTTTTTTTCCAATATTTTCTTCTGCGATATCGGATGTGATTAGTCTCTGTTGACAAAAACAAACTGGCCTTAACGTTCTCACTCAATGACCACGCCTGTCATATGATTTTGATAGAGCACATTCGCCTATGTGTGCGGTGTGCACGCGCGTTATATGTGTGTGTGTGTATATGTAAGGTGGTGGGGGGGTCTTTAATCGTCATTCAATGTTAGGCAGCTTTACCGATGTAAGTACCGTACATGTAACCCGGTGCGTGATATGTTCTTATCTAACCTGATGTTTGTTTCGTTTGGTTGCACGAGCACGCATACGCACGCACAAACGCGATCACACACGCGCACACACACCTGTTCCATGTTGCAGTGTTGTTTTGGGTACTGAAAATATTCAAATGACGCTCCCTGGCAGCTGAATTAGAAACAAAGCGGCTGTTGTTTCCACAGAACAGAGGGGTATCTGAGCGGGGGAATTTTAATATTGTGGCTTCCAGACACCGTTCTCTCACAATGGTTAATGGTTATTATCATTAGGCCTGTACCTGTCAGTGTGAGCAGCTCTTGCCAGGGTGTTATACATACTCCCAAACTCACTTTATATAGTAGTATGTGCTGTATGTGAGTAGAGCTGTCTTGCACTCAGCAGTAAAATACTATGGCATCTTACAGTGTAATTTGTGTAGTCTATGTAATATGTGTAATAAAAATAGAAGTAAAGACATCAACCTCGTAGGACGTATTACATCTGGCCAAACTAATGATAGCAAGAAAATAAAGAGGGCCAGCATGTTGATTGGGTGACAGATTCTAAGTGACAACGTGGATGAAAACATACCGAGGAGAGAATGTCAGGTTAAGTTAAAATATGGTGCTGGTATGTGTCTGCGTGCCAGCATGCAGGCCTGTGTGTTAAAAAAGAGAAAGACAGGAGGAAGAAGAAAAAGTTGTGCTCGGGGAAAATTTAAAGCAGTTTGAGTCAAAGGATTTAAAACCTATTTCTAATCATTAAAAGATGTAGATTATAGATCTCCATTACAATAAGTGTTCTAGGAAAGTGGGTTTGAGCATGAAAGATCGTTGTTGTGTATGTTGATTCAATATTTTGTGGATAAATGTACAAGTTGAATGTTCTGTCTGGCTGCTCAGTCAAAGAACAAATCCTTTCCGTACAGTTTGGATCTTTCAGAGGATGGTAAACAAGGAAAAGTAGATTCTTGTTGAAGCTATGTGTTAACACCTCTTAAAAGGAAAATAACTGAGAAATCTGATGAAACATTGCAAATTATTGGTCATATAATACACTTATCAGACATGTGAACATTTGAAACATTTTGTTGTGAAAGTTATTCTTTTTGTTATCAAATGAGCACCAATTTAGTCACCACTTTTTCTTTTAGTTTTCTGCTCCCCAGCGTTTACTCCAGGTGCAGTCGTTGTGAAGTTTTTAAAGAGAAAAGAAAAGGAGGCAATGATGAGGGTGCGGCATTTAAATAAGAGCTTTTCCTTTTTAAAATGCTGCAGCTGTTTTCAGGGGCTGAGCTGGCACCACCAGCAAAAGGTGGTACATTGAACCACCTTGACATGACTGTTCTGAACTTGGCTCAATTTTGGAGCATCAGCAAAACACCAAAATGACCAAATGACTGAAGGGAAAGTAAACTTTTCTTTGACAGCTTTTTTCTTGAAAGTTTCCACCATCCTGTTTGACGTTAAAATCACAGGGTTGTTTTGCTGAGAGGGAAACTAAACCCAAGACATGAAGTAAATTAAGAACAGTGGGACTTTAAATGATGATCAGATATATATTTACAGAATATAGGGTCCTCCACTTGGTCTTCAAATACTTAAAGGTGATGTTATATGATCATGTGAGAAGGATGACAGTACATTGTAGCACTGCAGGCACTACAGAGGTATCAGATACTACGCACCAGTTATTAACCACCAATGAACCACCAATAAAGTAACCAAGAATTAACAGAATACAAGATATACTTCCATTATAATATTCTGTCTGTTAAGACTATAAGGATGTTGTGGAACCATTGTTGCTGTATAGTAGAGAATGAAAGCCCATATTGTACTAATTATAGTGTAAAACGTCATTTCAAAGAGTCTCTGGTTAGTCGAAAAATAGTGGATGTTCATTACTGTTTAAGCAGCTGGGATTTTAACTAGCTGTTACCGTATATCTCTTCAAATCCACCCTGATTATCATACTGGAAGGTTTTTGTTTTACATATATTTTTATAAACAGTCACAATATGAAGAAGTCAAGATTTCCAAGAAAACTTTTTCACTCTTAAAATGGGAATAGGACTTTAGCATCTTAATTATCTGCTTTGTTTGGCAGCTTTCCAGCATGTAATTTCCACTGTCAGAGACGTTTATTTATTACACAATTATTACATAATCCTGTTTCAATTGTAAAGCTGGAAATCTGATGAACTCTGCCTAAGTATCAAACCTTTTCAACTTGCTCAGATCTGACCGTGCCAAGTATTTTGATACGGCTAGACACGCTTATCTATTCACAGATATTTGTGGGATCGTGGTTACATCTTATTGACTTGCCCTCAATGAGGTTGCCCCTACCCCGGCTCCCATTTGAAATCCCTTAAACAAAACACTTGTGACAGAACAAGCCTGATAAAGTGTATACGATTACAGTATCCCACAGCACACCCTGAAACCCAATAGCTAGCTCACTGAACTGATGGTAGGTAGTACGATATTGTGTCCTGCCTCAATAACATTGTGCTTTGAAAGGTGCATTGCTGCTTCTATTGTGATAGGCTGTGTAAGTACTCTAATGCCTGCCACTTACTGCTATGGTGATATCTCCTGCAGGGACATGTTAGTGCATAAACACCGGTGGACTTGCACTTGCTTAACAAGGCTAATTTTTGAGGATGCACAGACATCGTGTTTAGCAGAAGCCTGTGTTTAATCACGGTACAGTCTCAGATTTGGTGTCCTCCATGAGCAGAAGTTAACAGGGTCTTTCTGATTTCTGAAAAAGAATAAAACGTTTAAATTGAAAAGACAAGAAATCTACCAACATATGTTCATATTTTTTATTATATTCTATTATATATGACTTCTATCCCCCTTGCTGGGATGTGGGTGATTTGTGGGAGGCTAAGCTTGGAGAATCTCTTACTGGTTCATTCTCTGTGACAAAGTAGACCAATATTTTAGCACTTAAGCTAACAACTCTTGGTTAATCTGTTGATTATTTGCACAAATCAAGGAATGGTTTGACATTTTGGGAAATACACTTACTTGCTTCCTTGCAGAGAGTGAGATGGAATTGAAATATCAATCTATTCCAGTAATCGATTAATTTTGACAAATTGTCAAGGAAATAGAAAACTGTGTAAAATCCTCATTACATTTCCCACAGCCCAAGGCAACATCTTTAGATTGTTTATTTAGTAAAATCAACAGTTCCAAACCCCCAAAGTACTCAATAGTAGCAAAGTAAGTAACAAATCCTCATACTTGAGAGGCTGGAACCACAAATGTTATTGAGGCAATGTCCCTCTAAAACATAACTGATTGATTTTCCATGTTATTGAAAATATTATTTTATTTAAATGGATTAATAGTTTGGTTTGTAAAATATGAGAAAATAGTGAATAATGTACATTACAGTTTCTCTGAACCTGAGTTGATACAGCTATCTTCAAATAACTTTGTCCAATCAACAATCCAAAAATAATCAATTTACTGTCACATAAAAAACAACAAATCCTCAAACTGTGAAGCTGTATGATTGATCTTTGATCTTCGGCTTGAAAATAACTCAAATAATCAATTATCAAAATTGTTGCTCATTAATTTTCTCACAGTTGACTAATCGACAAATGGTTTCAGCTCTACTCAGCTGTATAATGATATATAGTACAACAAATCTTTGTGCTGCAAGCTGCCTGTTTACTGATAAAGAAATCAGATTGAGGGTTAAAAGTAAAAACATTCTGAAATAGAAATATTCATCCTGGTGCCGTTTCTCTCTTTTCCTGTCACATATACCCATGTCTGTTGGGTGCACCGGGCCTGTAAAGCGGCTCTGCTGTAGCTGTGTGACTGTGTGTGTGTGTGTGTGTGTGTGTGTGTGTGTGTGTGTCAGGCGAGTGCCAGCCCACCTTTCTGGAGAACATAAGGTTATATGTGTCATTGCAGAATGGATGGCTTGAAAGAGGAGGAAAGCTATTACAGTAAAGCCTTTTGAGCAGATCCTGCCAAACTGCAGTCCAACACGCGTATAATCACCCTATATGATCTGGGAAAGGTCAACACAGTATATATCAAAGTGCCACTTGCAACCAACTTAGTGTCTCTTTGACGCTGTCTGGAGGATTTAGTGGGGTCGTGTTTAGTGGTGGTTTGTGTGCTCGTAGAAAGTAGATGATTTTGTTCCACAGAAACAGAACAGCAACATGATAATAATATGGAGGTATTTTCAATTTAAGAAGGACCCAACAACCTTTCTTATAACTTTTAAACGAAAATTGTTTTGACTGTTTCACTTCTGTCACCTATTTAAAGTGTCCTGTTTTCTATTTAATTTTTCCCTCATAACTAAGATAATTTACTCTAAGCGAATGCTACCAGAACACGTGTGTTTTCTTAGCTTCCCTCCTGTCTAAATTAAGGAAAATGTTGATGTAATTGGCCTGCCGGCTCTCTTTAAAAAAGTACTTTATCTTATCAGTTGTGTGTTTGTGTTGGCTTTGTAATAACGCTGAGGTAACGTTGAATGCCTCAGCCTGGAACAATTGATGTCGACAGATCTGCTTACAGTGTTATGATTTACTAGCAGGCTTATGCCAGGAGAAACATTATGTTGATTTAAACTTTCTCTATCGGTCATCTCTCCGCTGTTGTTACAGGGGCCTGCGTTTGTTTCTCTCTCATTAGGCGTCTATGTTTCCACTGCCTTCTGCGTTCGAGTCTGTGAGGGCAGCCAACACCTTTAAAGTAAACACACCC